ACACGTTTAAATTCATGCAGTTTGGGAACTAACGAAAGTAGCTTGTCGGAGTAATTACCGTGAAAGTATTTGTAGAAAAGACAGAGGGAAGCGACGTCACATCTGTGAGAGAATGACTGTAAACGATATGTCAGACCAGTGACAATCGTATTGCATATCCGTCTCTGGCTTTTGTCGAGGACCTTAAGACGAACAACGGGGGCTCCAGACCATATATGGCAGCAGTATTCCTTGCGTTGAACATTGTCAAACGTAACCCAGTTTTAATCGTCATGTAATGATATATTTATGGAGCTGTTAGTTTGGATGATTTATTTAGAGAATGCCGATTTTGTAGTTGTGATAAAAACAAGTAACAGAAATAAGATGAAAAAATACAAATAAAAATTGGGGATACGAGTTCAAGAATCGTTCCAGATTTAATGTTTAATTCCGATCGACAACACTTATAAAATAACAATCCGAGGTCAGCGATACAAAGCCAAAGATGTCATCGATTTTCGACTCTATGCGGATGACACAACTATTTATTCCTGTATTAATGGTAACTCCGGTCGGTTTGATGAAATCAAATCGGCAGCTTATCTAAAAAAAATAACCTACAATCTGTTTTAAATGGGCTAAGAAATGACTTGCTATGTTTAACACCCCCAAAACGAAAATACTCCCTTTTAATTTGTCTTAAGTAACCTATTTGGCCTTCTTTCGGTATGGCTGATTCCAACCTGCAGGATAATGACTCATTGCGCCTTCTAGGGTTAACATTTTCCCGCTGATATGACGTGAAATGATTATATTGAATCAATTGCTAGGTCTGCAAGATAGGAAAGTTGGTTCACTGTGTCGTGCCAGACATTTTTTCTCGCCCGAATCTAGCTTTTGATATCACATCACCTTTGATCTGGTACTTCTGCTATTTGTTTAATGATTGTTAATAAGCTCTAAAGAAGAATCTGCAATGTTATCGGTCCTGACCAGGCATCTCAGATTCAGTCACATTCCCAACTCCGTATCGTAGCTTCGCTGTGACTTTTCTATAAATATCTTCATGATAAGTGTTCGGATGAGCTTTCCTATTTGGTACCACGGCTTTACAAATCTAAGCGCAATGCCAGATTGGCAGCTAGGTCTCATCATTTTACAGCTGAAATGGCTAGATGTCACCGTTAGTTCTGTGCTATGAGTCACTTCTCTCGCACTTATCACTTGCGAAGCTCTCTTCCGGCCTCTTGCTTTCCAGTCAACGATTTTCTAAGGGTAGCTTAGAATCTGGCTCAGTATCTAAAATATGGAGCACCCAGTGAGGATCGTAACTGAGCTAGCGAGACAAGTATGCTAGCCATTAGACGATAATTTTCCAAGCGTAGCTTAGATATGTCACAAGGCGGAAAGTGTGATGCTCCTAGTGAGAATCAAATTCACTACTCAGTCGTAATTGGTCTAGCGAGGCAAGGATGCTAACCATTACACCACGTCGAGTTGATCCTATCAAGTCAAGTTTGATCTTAAAAATATAAATGCAATGTCAATCCTCATCTCCTGTCTTCTTAATTTCTTTTCTTTTATTCTTCTCTCTCCTTAATAATTTGTTTACTTTTCCTCATATTCTTTCACAAACAATAACCTCTTACGACTTAGTGTCTTTATTGCCTTGCTTGGGAGTGAAATGATTAAAAATTTGAAGGAAATACAATAAAAATTTACTAATCATTGACAATATACTATGCAATGAATTTCAAAACTATTACATCCAGTATTACTCGTAGAGCATAAAACAACAGAAATAAAATGAAAAAGTCTTAATACCAATAACATTTGGAGCCTTCGGAAAGTAACTGGATTATTTTTTTTAAAAATTAAAATTAACTTGACGTTAAATTTATATTAAATATTATTTTACAACAAGCCAATAATTTTTTATTCCAATATTTAAAGAAATCTGGGAAAAATTGAATGTTTTCAACTCGTTTGTTTCTAAATGTTCCGCCATTTGTAAAATATTCTAGTAATCGAAACAAATGAAAATCTGTATGCGATAAATTTCGTTAGCAATCATAAAGTATGGTGAAGCGTCTTCCACAGTAAATATTTTTTTAGGTATGTTTAGCAGATTGTGATGTATTGTCATGCTGCATTTCTACCTACCAATGCAGGGTACTTCTAACTTATTCGTTTACCTGAATAGTTCTCTGACCATAATCGTTTAGAGTGACGGCCTTCCTATGCCCCAGGATATCATTATGGCCGACCTGATTCATATTCCACCAGATACAAAGCAAGAACTTCTGTGACTGGAGTCCTGGTTTAGCAATTGTTACTTGTATTTTTTTTTTTTTTACTTATTTATTGAATTTTTTGTGATACGCATATTTTCTTGTTTCCTTTTAATATGTAAAACCTATTTTTCATCATGCATAACAATCCTATGTGAAAACGAAAGATTAGCATTCCTGGTTCAAAAACTGCTGCAGATTGTATAACGTTAGGATTAGTTTTAAAGCGAAAACTCACGAGGAAGACAATTTCACTCTTTGCTAGTTATTTTCAATTAAAATCAGAAATACCATTTAACAGACAAACTATTAGATAAACTAATTATAGGAACAGTTTCCTACCATTCCACCTTGTTTCTGCCTTGATTGCTTAGCATATAATTCATACCTGTAAATACATTATTACATTCCCAACACCCTAATTAACTGTTATTGCTGTCCTCATACAAAAGCAACCAATTACGAGTTATCTCGTGGTTGTCTGTCAATGTGTTAAAAATGAAGACTCCCTGCGTGTTGGTTTCTAAACGTTTCCGCAGTTTTGTACTGATTTAGTTTCCTTTTATTTCTCTCGCATATCTGACACTAAGAACCAATCTGTCTAACATCAAGCTACGTCCATTTAGATTTTATAGTACTGGTTGCAGCGCACGCACACACGCAGCACGCCCGCCCGCCCGCACGCACGAGACGATTGATTTAAGATACGCTTCTGCACTAGTAACCAAGGTCGGATTTGCTTTGTTTCTGTGACCTTTATTGTTTAGATTTACAAATGTCAATGCGGTCAGATGTGAACAAACCCGACAGACTTCTCTACGAACTGCATCCTCCTCCCGCTCCCTCACCCCGTTTTTTTTTTTTTTTTTTTTTCACCTAGCCGTATTCAGATTTGGGTGCACGTAGCTTTCTCTAACCAGACGGCTGTCTAGTTCGGTTAACTGAAGAACATTTTCTCAAGAAAAAAAAAAGAAAAGCGGTTTCCGGTTGAAATCATGATGAGGTCACGGAGATATTAAACAGGATTTGTTTTCCCCCAGATTCGTATGAATATTGATTTTGTTTCGCATAACGCCAGAAACTCGAATCACAAGGGAATGATAGAATCATACTAGCCAGGGTAACAACCTGATTTATTTGGGACAAACCCTTAAGATAATTCAAAGAAAGAAAAGAGAAACGACAATCTTTACACTTCGTACCTGCAAAAGAATGGATTGACAAAAGGACCGTTTTTCCTTTGACACCGCTATTATTTTAACTACCTTCACTCCTCGGCAATGACAGTCGTTTTAAAAACAATGATTGGAATTGTAATAAATCATAAACATATGATGAAAGTGAATTTATATGTTTTTATTTTTGAGAATTTACAACAAAAATATTAAAGACTATTTACCAATTATATTGTTTATTTAGAATAATAACAATATTCCAAAAACTAATACCATTGTATTCAAACTAAATCAATGCAATATTTATCATTTACCAATTTACAAAGAAATAAATATGAGAACTCTTTTATTCATAAATTTATAATACAACATTATTTAAATTATTCGGACTATTGTCCTCATATTTGTCGACATATTTACCACACCGGTTTGACCGTTGTGCGCTCCGGCCTTCTTCAGCTTGTTGGAATGTCGAACTGAACCATTTATTTCGCTCACTGAGGTAGACAGTTATAATTCCACATGCCATGTTTAATGGCTGTCAGTTATCAGTTATCTCCTGTTAATTTTCCTTCTGAAAGTTCTCCACTGTCTTGACCGGGTATTGAACTCACACTCTTTGGGTCCTCTCACTCGATCTAACAAACGCCTTTATCCACTGTGCCATGTGTCCTTGGAGAGGGAATTAAGCAGGAGATAACTGATAAATGACACCTATTAAACATGGCACGTGGAACTAGAACAGTCTACCTCAGTGAGCGAAATAAAGGGTTCAGTTCGACATTCCACCCACCTGAAGAAGGCCGGAGCGTACAACGGCCGAAACGTTGTGATAAATATGTCGAGAAAGATAAGGAAAATAGTCCGAATAATGTAAATAATGTACATAATACCTCATCTCAGAAATATAGACAAAATTATTTAAATATGTGAACCAACTATGAGGAAATCTTTATTATTTACCATTTTATAAAGTTCGAATTAGTTGGCATTTACCTGATGTTTGGCAACCATTTCAATAAATAATATGATAAACAGTGTAAATAAACAATGTAATAAATGTTTATTTTGTTTTCAAGTCTCAAGATCAAAGAAAATGCATAAATTTACTTTCATATATTTCGGGTTTAATTAAATTCTAATCATTACTTTTTAAAACAATAAAAATTGCCTAGAGGTGAAGACAGTTAGCAATACTAACGGTGTCAGAGGGAAAAAAAAAACATCTTTTTAACACACTTTTTTTGTGTGGACATGAAGGTTGAAAATTGCCGGAGAAATTTTTGATTGATTAATGGATCTTTTTACGGTTTAAGACTTTGCCGGTTATTTAAAACACAAAATATTTTTTAGATTTTATTTTATTTTTTTTTTTTTTTTTTGCATAATAATGATTTATTATAAAAGTCCTTATTAACCCATAGCCAAGATGGATTCATACTTTTTCAAAGAGTATTTGCGTGTAAATGAACGTAACGAACCAGACATGGAACTCGGCTCTCCGATTTATAATACCGAGCATTACACCAACCACTCGCACATCATCGCTCATAGCACCCGGTATTCCTAAGCGGTCTCCCAACTAGGTACTGATCAGGCTCGATGTTGCTTAACTTCCATGATCGTAAGGGAACCGGTGTTTTCAACCTTATATGGCTTTGGGTAAAATGATGAAAAAATAAGAATGTTCGTAATAGCACGCAAAATAATAATCTTTATGTGACCCTAACTTGTTCATCATTACTCCAAAGAGGTTCCCTACTAAGCATCCATTAGGAACAATAGTCAGCATTAGTCCATTAAGATCGATTACGCCGTGAGAGGGCGCCATTAAATTATTGTCATAGTTTAATTATTATTTTTGTTCGGCGCAACGCATGCGCGAGCAGTGGGACTGTTATCTGAGCGGAACGTGAAATCGACGAGTCGGGTTCAAATTTCTGGCCTTGTCATTTACGTTCTAGTTTCGCCCAAAGGCCCATTGGAGAGGCATTAATTTAACAATTCTCCCTCTAGCTATGAAGGAAGACTGGGACCCCCCCCTTAGCCCTTGATTTTGGGGGAATTATGTTGGAATGATTTCTCGCTGCTTTTTTTCCCCACGGATTTTAATAAAGAATAGTATTTCTTCTACATTGACTGCTCTCCAGTGCTAGATAACCTAGTCTACTATACTTTTTAATCCATACCTTGTGGGGAGAAGAGATGGCTATATGCCTTTCCCAATGACATTTCAGCGAAAGTGAAAAGGATCAGAGTTTGCTGGAATTTGAAATCAGCTCACCGATCGCATTTTCAAAAGACCAAAGGAAAAGCAAAAACACGAAAGACTGACATGAGAAATGCAGAAGTTATCAGAAGAAAGAGAGTGAAACATACCCGAACTGCAGACGATTTAGATAAACAGCATTGAAATATAATGAAAAAGAGAAACAATGTAATTTACTAAATGAAGACGTAGAGAGATTGTTAAGGATAAGCAAGAGGAGTAATGGATAGCTGCTCAGATTAAGGAATCTGAGAACAGAGTTCGAATTCCAGTCAAAACCATTACATTCACTTACGTGATGATAGTCTTGGGAAAGGTATGAATCTTTTTCTTCGCTCCCGAGCTATGAGTTAAGATCAGGACTGACCGGGTTCTATAGCCTTGGATGACAACTGATCTGTGAAAGAAATGGCAACCTACTGCGGGAAAAATCCGCCTCGTCAGTCATGTATTCAAAGATATATGATCGCCTAAGCGTGTATTATGCATGGCACATAATTGACTGAAGAAGCACTATAGAAACTGTATGCTTCGAAAATAATACCACCAGCAGTAGCAGCAGCAGCGGCAGCAGCAGCGGCAGCAGCAGCGGCAGCAGCAGCAGCTCCATCAGAAACTGATGATGCTCTCGATGTAGCAACAGACAAAATAATGTTCGCGTTGCAAACGTGAATAAAACAACAATAGAATGTGCCATAGCAACAGAGATTATTAAATATGTAAGAGAATCTCACAGTGAATAAAGAAAAGGAAAAGTCTAGATATTTAAATTTTACTTTACAATACAATAGACAACTATCGCCATATGTCTATCGAACAAATTCTTGCCAAATGTACGTACAAACAGATTAACGAATACTCCAGAAGATCATGTGAAGAAACAGGTTTTAAGTACTTGCTCAATAACAAACCAACCATAAAAAATAAATAAATGAGCCGATCAAATAATATTTAAAAACAAAATAAACTAAACTACTTTTGCCCGCGATAACTATGAAAAATCACTTGGCAGTTTTTAACTCTTTAAGATGTTAATGAAATTTGTATAAAAGTTATTAAAAATATATACGATAACAGAAATAATTTAATAGCACAAACACACAGACAAAAATAAAACCTGGAAAAGGAATAAATTAATTGACTGATTGATTTTTACGGTTTATGAAACATATTACAGGTTATTTAACGCCAGGAAATATTTTTGGAGTGTAAGAATTTTGGGGAGGTTATAACGATTTACTGATACAATTCCTGCTATTTAGCCCATATTTGGAGGGCTAATAGGACAATTCATACCTGTAAAAGGTGTAAAAAAGGCATATACAAAATCACTGAAGTTATTTATACACATTAATTGAATGTATGTTCCAAAATTAACGGCAGTTTTATAAAGCATCTAACGACGCTTTCTTCTACTAGTGTCGGTCGCAGGTTCGAAACCTGCCAAAATGCGCATCTTTCCTTTCATATGATTTCCCTAATATTCAGACGAAAATAAATAAATATACTGTTTAATAAATAAACAGAGTGTCTACTCAAATATATATGAATCCACTAAAAATAATGGATTAATAAATAAATACTCCATTACTTTTTTATATATATATATATATATATATATATATATATATATATATATATATATATATATATATATATATATATTGTGTGTGTGTGTGTGTGTATACAAAAATATTGTCGGTTCGAACAACATTACTAAATAAGAACATATTGATCAACAACCGATTTTACGAGTTTATATATATATATATATATATATATATATATATATATATATGGTAGTACTCGTTTGGAAAAACCTCGGATAGCTCAACTTGCAATAGAATAAATCGGTACCCGAGGAAAAATAGGAATAAAAAAAAAAAGAACCAAGAACATTAAAACAAGGCGAAATAAATCGTCAAGTGTTTAAGCTCCAAATCCCCACCCCCAAAAAAACGAGTAAAAAGACAACTACGTAAAGTACTCAATACACTAAGTAGAGCAAACCTATGATAAGATAATCCTAAGGATTCAGGCAAACCTACCTTGGTTTCACCTAAACGGATCTTCAGGGTACTGCTTGCTAAAGATCCGTTTAGGTGAAACCTAGGTAGGTTTGCCTGGATCCTTAGTGCATTAAGGGAAGGTCTATTGTATTATTCTAATGATTAGGCGGGCGGTAACGGCTATATGATCTTTCGAGAATCTTGAGAAGGATCTGAGCAAGATCCACTATTCAGATTCGTAAGATTTAATAAAGAAAATATGCTCGGCGACATTTTCTTTATAATATATCTTGAATGCAGACTGTCTACTGAAAGATGGGTATCCACAAATTGACATTTGGAGTCAGTCAGTCAGTTATGTGCCATGGGTGATACACGTTTAGGCGATCATGTATCTTTCGATACATGACTGACGTGGCAGATTTTTTTCCGCAGTAGTTTGCCATTTTTTTTCTGCGGTAGGCCAGTTGCCATCCAAGGCTACAGAACCCGGCTATCTTGCTACTTACCCATAGCTGGGAGAAGAAGTGGATTCATATCTTTCTTAATGTTATTAGCAAGTAAGTGATTGTAATATATTCGACTGGAATTCAAACTCGGCTCTCCGATTCCTTAATCCATTACTCCAAAGGAAATAATGTCGTATACAAATCCACTGATTTCTTATACTGGGTGCGATGGGTAAATTTTCGCCATTTTATACTTTTAATTTCGCGCATGTGCATTGTTTGCTTTCTTTTTCTTACTGTACGGTCAATTGAACACCGTCGGTGAGAAAAAGATCACCATAACGCAATTTACTCTGCCATTAGTTTCGATACGACATGCTGTACTGCTTGAAATTCGTGCCGGAAGTTCAGTGCGAACAATTCAGAGTGTTTCGGTGTCAATCTGAGGAGAGTACAGAGGATTCGGAAAGAGTTGGATGAGTTCAATGGTGATTACAAATGTACGGCTGCTCGGAAAACTCACTCTGATCGTTCTGATAAGAAAACAACTCACGATCTTGTTTGTGAGATCCAGACCACAATTGACAACGATCTCTACAAGTCAATCAGGTCCATAGGAACACAGGAGTGTCTGAGTTTCTTATCAGGCAGGTAGGGCTTGAAGACATTCGGTATTTCTCATACAAGTTAAGAAAAGGCCATTTTTATCAAAAACCATAAAGGACAAGAGGAAAGACCGCGCTACGAAGCTATCCTTTCCAACCGAACATTTCTGCCAGAATAAGATTGTGTACCCGCAGAATAACCGTTGTTTTGCCGTGTCCCCAAAAGGTGTGCCGAGAGTGATGAAAGCCAAATACCCAGTCAACATCATGGTTTGGGGGTGATCACTAGTGATGACGTAGTTATACTTCCATTCATCTTCCCACAGGGCCTTCGACTGAACATGGAGAACTACATCAAGAACTTTGAAGACATAGTGATACCCTGGATCAAGAGGGTGGTTGCCTGGCAACAGGATTCTGCACCATGCCAACCAACAGGAGATCCCAGTCATGAATGTCAGACAATTTCTGCGACCACATCACCCCTTACATCTGGCCACCTGACTCCTCAGAATGCAACCCTTTGATTATTATATATGGAGCGCAGTTGAACAAGTGACCAACAAAACTCCTCGTAACACCGAAGATGAACTGAAGACAAAGTGTATGACAGTATTCACCGTTCAGAAAAGTTGCAGGAGATTCAGAAGTTTTCTGGGGGTGGGGGACTTGGTTGAAGTCAATGGAGATTTTATTGAATAAATTTACTGTAGTATTTCAAGATATTTTTGTGCAATTTTGCTAAATATAATTGTTAAAATTAGATGTCAGTGCTATTTTCTTTTTTGCGTAATTTAGATGACAATTTATCCATCGCAGCCTATATATGTATACCAGCACACACACACAGACACACACAGAGACACACACAGACAAACAAAAATAAAGCCTGTTATTATCTTAAATGATTTAGAAATGCTAACATTATACATAATAATATACATCTCATAAACGAAAGCAATGTGTCTAATATAACATTTCATTAGATTATGAGTCTACCGTTTGATATGGTTTCAGGGCTGATGCATCATTTGCGCAAACCCAGATATCCCATTAGTACTGTGGTGATGCGGGGTCTGGTCAAATGCAACGATTTACTGCACAGTGTCAGTCGTGATAGTTGTATACAATAGACAAGTCATTGCAATAGAATTATCTCTTTTGACAGTTACCCAGGACTACTTATAATGAATGGATCAGTAAGAAGGGTAACTGGAACTTACAACAACAAATACATAACGGTATCTTGTGGTTTTGTTGATTTCCGTTGCCATGCCGTGAGAATGCCAAATTTTTTTGATCCTGTTCAAGCATTACTGAGTTCC